ACCAGCTGCCCCTTGGAAACCCTATACAGTGTCGCTATGGGTCAGAATTGACTCAATGGCACTTAACAACAACAATGACAACAATCTAATCATATCAAGCATTGAAGCTATGTCCAGTGAGCAGGAGATGATGGCAAGGGCACACTTCATGTAATCCTGTTTTATTTGATCGGCATACAGATTGAATAAACATGTTGAAAAGATACAATCCTGGCCCACACTTGTCCTGGTTTTAAACCATTCAACATCCCTTTCTTCTGTTCTAATGACTGCCCCTTGGTCTACCGGCATGTTCCCCATAAGCACATTTAATTGTTCTGGTATACCGTAGTTCACAATGTTATCCATAATGTATTATGATCCACACAGTTGAATGCCTTTACATGGTTAATAAAGTACAAGTAAACTTGTTTCTGATATTCTCAGCTTCCGATCAAGATCTGAATTTAGCGACCCTGTAAAGGATTCCAAGGACTGCAACATTGTGGTTAGCAGTTCACTGCTTACCTTACATCAGCACACCAGGACTCTATTTTGTTCATGTTGTTGTTGTTACATGATGTTGAGTCAATTCCTACTCATAGTGACCCTGTATAGGGTTTCCAAGGAGCAGCTGTTGAGTTTGAGCCACCGATCTTGTGGTTCAAACTGACCTTGTGGTCTAGTGCTTTATCCCACAATGCCACACCAAAAAATCCTTCAGTATCATATGTTGAGGCTTGGGTTTTTTATTCAGTTCTTTCAGCTTGAGAAATATTGAAGGCATTCCTCCTTTATAGTTTTCTTATTCCAGGTCTTTGCACTTATCATTTAATACTTGACTTTGTCTTCTTGAGCTTCCCTTTGAAATTTTCTGTTCAGATTTTTGTTTTCTAATATCTTCCCATTGTTTTAGGGAAGTTTTCAAGAGCAAGATTGTTTCAAGAGCAAGTCTGTTCAAGAGCAAGTTTCAGAGTCTCTTCTGACATTCATTTTGTTCTTTTCTTTCTTTCCTATCTTTATAAAGAATTTTTGTTTTCTTCATATATGATATTCTTGATGCCATCCCAGAACTCTTCTGGTTTTCAGTCATTAATATCTACTGCATAAACTCTGTTGTTGACATTGTCCCTAAATTCTGGTGGGATATAATCCAGGTCATATTTGACTTTCATAGATTTGTTTTAATTTTATTCAGCTTCAGCATGAATTTGCATGACTTATTGATGGTCTGTTCCACAGTTAGCCCCAACCTAGTTTTGGCTGATGATACTGAGCTTCTCCATCGTCCCTTCCCATAGATGTAGGAGATTTGATTCCTATATTCAGTCTGGTGAGGTCCACATGTATTGTTGTTGTTGTCAGGTGCCATCGAGTCGGAACCGATGTGCGACCCCATGCACAGCCGAATGAAACAATGTCCGATCCTGGGCCAACCTCACTACCTCTGTCACACTTGAGTCCATCAATGATGCCACCTGGCCAATCCATCTCGTTAGGGGTCTTCCTCTTTTTCTCTGACCCTCCACCTTACCCAGCATGACATCCTTCTCCAGTGACTGTTTTCTCTGGACAATATGTCCAAAATATGAGAGACGAAGCTTAGCCACATGTATAGTTACCATTTATGTTCTTGAACAAAAGGTATTTTCAGTGAATAAGTTGTTGCTCTTGCAAACTCTATTATGAAGTCTCCAGGATTGTTTATATCATCAAGGCATGTTTTTCAGTTACTGATCCTTCCTCTTTGTTTCTCAACTTTCATATTTCAATCATTAGTAATTATCAATGCATCTTGATGGCATGTTTGATAAATTTCAAACTTAACAAGTTGATTGTTGTTGTTGTTAAGTGTCGTCAAGTCGATTCCGACCCATGGTGACCCTGTATAGGGTTTCTGAGGAGCAGCTGGTAAGCTTGAACCATCAACCTTGCAGTTCAAATGGCTTTGCAGTCTGGAGCCTTAACCTACAGCACCATACAAGTTGATAGAGTTCTTCAATTTCATTGTCATTGTTTTTAGTGGTTGGTGCATAATTTGAATAATAGTTGTATTCACTGTTCTTCCTTGTAGGTGTAATATCCTATCACAGACAGCATTGCGCTTCAAGATAGATTTTGAAGGATCTTTTTGATGATGAATGTGACACGATTCCTCTTAAATTTGTCTTTCTCAGCATAATAAATCACATGATTCTCCAATTTAAAATGTCCAATACCAGCCTATTTCACCTCACTAAAGTCTAAGTTGTCAATCTTTATGCATTACATTTCATTTTTAATAACTTTCCATGTCCCTTTGGGTGTTCACAGTTTTGCTAAAAGAGCTTTGTGTCACAGGTGTGAGCAGGGCAGAGTCCAAGGGGCCACTGGCTGAGAAGCTGAAGACAAGAGTGAGGCGTGCCTGCAGTTCTGATTCTTAAGGGAGGTCATTAGGCACTTCTTCTCATTTAGAGGTGTACCACATAAGCAGATGAAAGTCCTGGAAACTTTGCTACATTGACATTATTAAGGTTAACTCTACTTTGAGGAGGCAGCTTTTCACTGGTCATGTTTTGAGTGCCTTCCAACCTGATGGGCTCATCTTCTGTCATTGTGTCTCACAATGATCTGCTACAATTCCTATGTTTTTTTAGTGGCTACTCATTAATAAATGGTCCACTTGTCTTTATTCCAAGACTTGTTCTGGAAGCTCCACTGACACCTGTCTATCATAGGTGGTCCTGTGGATATTTGAAACACCAGATGGCATAGCTTCCATCATCATAGCAACACACAAGACACCACAGTACGACAAACTGACAGATGATAGTAATAACAAGTATTACAGCAAAAACTAACGTCAAACCCCTATGGTGCACTTTTGCTCTGTAATGCAAGTCTTCCATCAGTTAAAATACTGTGGATTGCAACAATTTTGGTCATTCTAGAGTACAGCTATGGTTCAGAACTGCTCAAGCTAGAAATGCAAATGGGGTGAGATGTTTTCTTGACATTAGTGACCCTTGGCTAATATTGGAAAGTACTGAGTGGCACCTTGATCATTTCTCCTCTTTGTAATCTTGAGATTTGGGTGCTTCATCCTCCTCACTGTTATTCCAGTGATGGAATCTGTGTGTTTAATCCATGTCAACTGTGTACCCAGCTTCTTGGCACAATCAGTCACTGCTATAACCTTGAATAAAATCCTCGTTCTGTTCCTCAAGAGGCTTAATGCCACAGCATATTTTAAAGACTTTAATGCAATGTTGTTGTGCTCACATTTCTTAATTCCTGAAGGAAGTTTTCCGTTTTCATTAGATCATACTTTACCTTGAGTATTTGGCACATCTAACAAAGGGTTAGATCTTGTCATTACGTAATCAAGATAATCTGCTTGAAGGCAATGTCGATTCTCATTCTGGAGCATTATATCGACAAATCTTACATATCTATCATAGAATGACCCCAGAGAGTTGTCAGTCATCATGTCACAAAAGTCATCAATTTGGACAGCACGTCTTTGAACCTGTAAGAAAACCCAAAAGCCAATATTGAAATGATTTTTAAGATGCATGCATGAGATATCTTTAAGCTCCAAATTGAATTCAGTTGCAATTTTTAAAAAATGCCTTAAAATGATTGCTTTGAATTCAAATAAGGTACAATCGTTTGTTGGTGAGCTGATCTGGATATCAACTCCTGTAAACTATCAACTTCTTTGAGAGGGCTGCAAAGTGATACCCATTGTGGAAACATAGCTTATAAAAGCACTTGCTGTAAAAAGACGTTTGGCATTCAGGTAGTGTGGTGCCTTGAATTAACTTGATGTGGCTTTTCTATCTAAAGTCTTCTTAATTCCCACCAGTCGATTGAGTGGGACCATCTAAACAAAGTATGCAGGACTTTAAGGCTGGGATGGGTTAGTGTTGCCCTCCAGCTAAGCTTACAAGAAGCCATCTCAGAAGCAGAGAAGGAAGATTCCAGAATGATCAAGAGGGAAGAGAATGAAGTGGTGAGGGCAAGAGGTGACCATGGAGACAACAGCAGAGGTGATGGCTTGGAGAGACAGAACAGTTTCTAGCTCTAGGCATATGGACTGAGTAAAACTGAGTGCCGAAAGGAAGGAAACTGGCTTGCAAAATGTGCCCTTTGGGCATTCACAGTTTTGCTAAAAGAGCTTTGTGTCACAGGTGTTAGCAGGGCAGAGTCCAAGGGGCCACAGGGCTGAGAAGCTGAAGACAAGAGTGAGGTGTGCCTGCAGTCTGGCAGACAAGATATGTTCCTGACTGGAGAACTGCTGCGTCCTGAGCTGGGTTTGATCCTGAATTGTACCCTGGTCACTTCCCTCATAAACCCCATAATTATGAGTTGCAATGGATTTTCAAACCCAGATGTGAAGCCGAGTGCTGTGGTAGGAAAGACTGATATCAGAATAGGGCAAAGAAGTTTGCAGGGTGGGAACATTTCTGATCTCGGCTTCAAAGTTGGACTTGAGCTGATTTTGAGTTTAATTCCCTAATTCCCTTTCCCTAGTATGAAGTCAGGAGAGTTCAGACATGGCTCCCACATGGTTTAAGCAGGTAGATATTTCAGTTGGAAAGAATTTAAAAATTAGGAAGCATTGATTAACTATCTGATTTCTTTCCAGGGCAGTGATAAAATGTTTAGGATGTGTGAAAAAATGAGACTTTATCTTTTGGACAGATCCGATTGTAGAAGAAAAGGTACCTAAATTTAAAAACAAAAAAATTGAAATGACCTCCTCTAGGGAGTCTTACAGAGTTTAATGAGGACTAGAATCATTGGAAAAAGCTTCTTGAGTATGTAGGAATTGATGTGGATGTTGAAGATTGTGTCATACTTTAATAAATACAGAGAGGTAGGGGGTATTTGAGTGTTTTCACTAATATGAATAATCTATAATAAATAGATAAAGGCATAAAGATTGGAGTTTAAAAGTTATTACCAGAGGCAAGATGAATAGAGAAAGGGAAAAAAGACATTTTTTTTTTAAGGTAACATAGAATTTTCAAATTATAATTGTCAAGTTCAAATACCCCCTCAATAAAAAAAGTGAAGGTAAAATATTTTGCGATCCAAAATCTAATAAACTGTATTGCATCGTTGTCAGTTTGTTTTGATAATGTACTGTGGCACTGTAGGATAAGCCCTGCATTTGTAACTGCAAGGTCTGTAGTTCAAACCCACCAGCCAGTCTCAGAAACCATATACAGGGTCACTATTAACTGGAACCAGCTTGACTACACAGAATAAAAACAACAATATGGGAGAAAAGGAAAGTGGACTTCTCAGTAGGTTTTTTGCAACTGTTTATGAGTCTATAACTAATTCAGATGAAAGGGTTTTTAAACAAATGTTAATACAAGTTGAAAAACACATCCATTCCCTTAGTCTATCTGACATCTGTCCTTATATTTAATCTTTCTTACAGCTTACCAGGCTGGGTCAAAGCAGGGTGACTTGTGGATGAAGTGGCTTTGGTGTGGTGCCCCAATCTCACGGGTATGTCCCTTTACTTCATTTTTCAAAAATATTTGTTTTAGTAATCTCTGCCAAAATTGTTACTTTTTTAGACAGCAATGTTCATACAGTTTCCATTTCAAAACCTATAGTACCCATGACCACATGTATCAAAATCCCTACAAATGATTATCTTGATATTAAAATTTTCTTTAAATTTTTCTGAACTTCAGTTTTATTCAAATCAATAAAATTTACCATGTCACAGTCTTCAGATTATAGAAGAAATGTTTCAATTCTTTTCTGATTATTTATAATTATTACTGTGAAATAGATTAGGCTTAGTGTACTTAATGAAGATAGCTTTATATGATATTTGAAATAAGCATTATAATGAAGTAGTTAAATTCTAGTCCGAAAAGAATCCATTATTCTATTATTTTGAAAGAGCTTGTAAGTATATTTAGAAAAAAAGATAAGCCAGAAGAAATTGTGTGAATTTAAAATAATTCAGTACTAGCCATGTTTCATCATTGACTTTGGTACTCAGAAAGGAGTTTTAATGTATTATTTAGAGTCCTGGTATGTCACTCTGGGATAAACACTGGAACACAAGGTCGGTTTGAACTGCAAGCTCAGTGATTCAAACCCACCAACTGCTACTTGTAAACTGTATTCAGGATTGCCATGTGTCTGAACCCACTCAAAGGCACATAAGAACAACAATGTGTTATTTAAAATTTTAAACAAATACCTACCCCTGCTTATCGTTTTATACATTTCGTGTAAGATACCTTGATAACTAGTGAATGTCTCCTTGAATTTTTCTCTTGCTTCCTTTATTTTCTTACCTTAATAGTTTCATTCTTATGATATTGAACAATTCTATGAAGTATATTTATTAATCTCTCTAGAAAATAGGCTTCATCCATTAAGGAGTGAATTTTAAGAGGTTTACATAACCTGTGGGAAAGAAAACAGAAAAAAACACAAGTGAAGTTACATATTACATTAACTTAAAAATCCTAACACAGAAAACAGCCCAAATAAATGAACATTAAGCTTCTTCAGTACTGTTATATTGTGGAAACAGAAATAAGGTATGGTTCTGGCTTTTGAGTTCTCTAAATATATCTATGAAAAGCATTCTACCCAGCATTTGTGAAATACTATGGATGTAAACTAGACCTATAAACAACATCATGGAGTCCTGGTGTGGTGGCAAAGGATGGACACTTGACCTCAAGGTCTGTTTGAACTGTAAGGTCGGTGGTTCAGACTCACCAGTCACTCTTGGAAACCCTATACAGGGTCGCTATGAGTTGGAACTAACTTGACAACAGTTAACAACAATAAGAAATGAGGAAAAAAAAAATTGAAGTTGTCAAAGACTTCAATTTGTTTGGTTCTATTCTAATGGAAACTGCAGTCAAGAAATCAAATGACATGTTGCTTTAGGTAACTCTGCTGCAAAAGGCTTCTTTAAAGTATTCAAGCATTAAAGATATTAGTTTGAGGTCTAAGGTGTGCCTGACCAAAGCCATGGTATTTTCAATAGTCTCATAAGCATGTGAAAGTTGGACAATGACTGAGGAAAACATGGAAGAATTGATGCATTTGAGTTGTGGTGTTGGAGAAAGATACAGAAAGTACCATGGATTGCTACAAGAGGAAACAAATCTGTGTTCGAAGAAATACATCCAGAATGCTCCTTAAAAGTCAGGATGGTAAGACTCGGAAAGGTGGATGGTTGGAGAAAAAGAGGAAGACGACTAATAAGATGGATTGAGACAATGTAGCAACAAAGGGCTTAGACACACAATTGTCAGGATGGCCAGGGCCATTAATTCTGTTGTTCATAGTGTCAACGGGAGTCAGAACTGACTCAGAGGCAGGAAACAACAACAAATCAGGCATTGCATTTCACCAGTTTATTTCCTAATGACACTAATCCTTTGACTTCATCTTTCCCTGCCTCAGAACCCTTGGCTTCATAGCACTGATTTATCTCATCTCCTGGTGTGGTGCTTTGGGTTAATGTGCTGGAATGCAGTCAGTTTGAACCACAAGTTTGGTGCTTTAAGCTCCTTAGCTGCTGCTTGGAAATCTGAAGGAGCTCTCGTAGCACAGCGATTATGAGCTACTAACCTCAAGGTCACTACCACATGTTCCATGGGAGAAAGATAAGGTTTTCTGTTCTGGTAAAGATTTACAGCCTCAGAAACCCTATGCAAGGTTGCTATGAGTCGGAACTGACACCACAACACATCACCAACCAACCAACAACATGGGTCGGAACCAACTCGACAGCATTTAACAACAACAACAGTCCAAAGAAAACTGTTTGCAAGTAGTTCAATTTGAACCGTGGCCTCTGCTCTATGCTTCATCCCATGCCTGCAGGGCATATTTCTCCAACTCCAGCCATGGGAAGATTGCCAAATCTCAGAACCCATCAATTCTCTTGGTGATGGTTGGAAACACAGTAATTGTAGTGTGGATGAATTGTGAAGGAAGAAGTAAAATTTAAGTGTCAGACACCTAGTGAACATGCAGTGAGGACTGAAAATGTCCCCTTATAGAAAGAAGAGTAATAAAAGTGCAATGGAATCACTTATGTGAAAGCAATTTAGGACTCAAAGAAGAAGTACATTTAGAGGTCACAGCGACATAAGGAAGACCATAGAAGAATTGATGCCTTTGAGTTATGGTGTTGGAGGAGAATATTGAAAGTGCCATGGGCTGCCAAAAGAACCAATAGATTTGTGTTGGAAGAAGTGCAGCCAGAGCGCTCCTTGGAGGCCAGGATGGCCAAACTTCATCTCTCATACTTTGGACATATTGTCAGGAGGGACCAGTCGCTGGAGAAAGATATTATGTTTGGTAAGGTGAAGGGTCAGAGAAAAAGAGGAAGAAAATGAGATGGATTGGCAAAGTGGCAGCATCATTGGTCTCAAGCATGGCAACAGTAGTGAGGTTGGCCCAGGATCAGGTAGAGTTTCGTTCTGCTGTGCATAAGGTTGCTATGAGTTGGTACTGACTCGATGGCACCTAACAACAATGATAACAACTTTTCAGTTATCATCTAGTGCTTAGCCATTGTGCCAGTAGAGATCTTTTTGAGATTGCTTATGTTGTTAAGTGGTGTCAAGCCAGTTCCGGCTCAGAACAACCCTGCTTAGTTTTCAAAAGAGCAGCTGATGGGTTTGAACTGCTGACTTTGTGGTTTGCAGTCCATTGCTGATCCTACAGCACCACACCATGAGTCCCTTTTTGAGATTGTTGTTGTTGTTGTTAAGTGTCATCGAGTAGATTCTGACCTATAGCGACCCTGTATAGGGTTTCCAAGGAGCAGCTGGTGAGCTTGAACCACCGACCTTGCAGTTCAAATAGCTTTGCAGTCTGGTGCAGGAACCCACAGCACCATACCAGGATTCTGAAAAGGATACTAGGCTTGGAAAAGTGGAGAGTCGGTGAAAAAAAGGAAATCTCTCAAGGACATAGATTGGCACAGTGGCAGCTGCAATGGGCTGAAGTGTAACAACAATTGTGAATATGGAGCAGTACTGGGCAGTGTTTTGTTTTGTTGTGCAGAGGTTGTCTATGAGTCATAACCAACTTCACATAACCTAATAACAAAGACAGTGCTTACTAGATTCAAGGGAATGTCTTTCTCATCACATGCACTGCTTAATACTAATAAAGGCTGATTATTTAAATTCAGTCTTTGATAAATTTTGGGTACATTTGGTTCTTTTTGCTAGCCAGAATGCTGTGAGTTAATCTGGTTATCTACCTATCTCACATACTTTATGTGGTGCTGTGGGTTAATGCACCAGACTTCAAGATGGTTTGAACTGCAAGGTTTGTGGTTCAAACTCACCAGCTGCTCCTTGGAAACCCTATACAGGGTCGCTATGGGTCGGAACCAACTCCACGACACTCAACAACAACAACATTTCCTATTTATCACTGATAATGACAATCTAAATCTTTCTAAAATCTCTTCTCTGTTCATTCTCTTTAGATATCTAATCCAATTCACCATAATTTCTTGGAAAGTCCACGCTTTAGTCCACTTTCTAGTTAATTTCTGCCCTTGTTGTTGTTAAGTGCCGTAGAGTTGGTGCTGACTCATAACGACCCTGCATATGGTTTCCAAGGAGCAGCTGGTGAACTTAAACTGCCGACCTTGCAGGTCAAACCGACTTTGCAGTCCAGCGCATTAACTCACAGCTCCATGCCAGGATTCTACTTCTGCCCTACTGCAGTTATATTCTCAAATGGAAGTGTGATCATTGTTTTTTGTATAAATTGTCTAGGCCAGGATTGTCAGCAGTTTGGCAGTTAAACCACAATAATGAGGAGATCTGCTGTTTGTAGCCAGACAAATTAAAAGGAAGTTTCTTCAGTGGCGTGTTCTGCTTCCAACATATTGAACACTAGTTCAAAGCTTGTTAGTGTTTTCTGGGTTTGAATCTTGTACCTGACTTGTCAAATGGCCTTGAATTCTTTAACCTACTGTATTACCTGCCAATCATGGGAATATTCAGTAATCTGCCATCTTACTTTCAACCTTGGATTCATTTGCCTCTTCAACCAGAAGTCTGCCATCCAACCTAGCAATCTTGGATTACTACACTTCTGCAACTGCATGACAGAAGGCTTCAGCCTGTTATCTGACCCAGAAACTTGGAACTTGTCCATATCTACAACTCTGTGAGTCATTTCCTTGATCTGTGTATATATGTTGTGTGCCATCGAGTTGGTTCCATCTCATAGTGACCCTGTATAGGGTTTCCAAGGATCAGCTGGTGAGCTTGAACTGTTGACTTTGCCGTTCAAGCTGACTTTGAAGTCCAGGGTATTAATCCCATGCAACAGCATATAACTACCACCATATATATATATCTTACCAGCTGCTCCTTGGAAACCCTAAACAGGGTCGCTGTGGGTCAGAATTGACTCAACAGCACTTAACA